CAACAGAAGTCTATCAGGTTGCTATATATATCATCGGACAGGAACATGGAAGAAGAGATCAAGAGAGCAATTCTCTTCACAATAGCCACGAACAAATTGAAATACCTAGGAATATATTTAACTAAAAAAAACTAAAGACCTATACAAGGTAAACTACAAGACCCTACTACAGGAAACCAAAAGCGACCTCCACAAATGGAAGAACATCCCATGCTTGTCGATTGGAAGACTCAGCATAGTAAAGATGACAATTTTACCCAAAGCACTTTATAAGTTTAACATTATTCCATTCAACTACCAACAACCTTCTTCAAAGAATTGGAAAAATTGACCACCAATTTCATATGGAGAGGGAAGAAGCCCAGAATTAGCAGAGAACTCCTCAAGAAGAAAGACAAAGTTTGAGGACTAGCTTTACCTGATTTTAACACTTACTACATAGCCACAGTGGTCAAAACAGTGTGGTACTGGCATAATGACAGCTACTCTGACCAGTGGAAAAGAACAGAAAGCCCAAAAGTAAAGCCACCAGCATATAGACAACTGATCTTTGATAAGGGCCCTCAAAGCATCCGGTGGGAAATGGATGCCCTCTTTAACAAATGGTGTTGGAAAAAATGGATCTCCACATGTAGAAAAATGAAACAAGATATATATCTCACCCCATGCACAAGAACAAATTCAAGGTGGATCACAGACCTAGAAGTAAAATCCCAAATTATCAGGACCATCAATGAAGGAATCAGGACAAACCTAAGAACCTTGGCCCAGGGAATGCATCGACTAACTACAATAGGGAAAGGTAAACACACAGGCAAACTTGAAATTGGCAAGTGAGATCTACTAAGGAGAAAACATCTGTATGTGTTGAAAGATTTCACCAGGAGGGTAACAAGTCAACCCACAGACTGGGAGAGGATTTTTAGTTATGACACAACAGACAAAGGGCTTATTACTAAAATCTACAATACCCTCATGGCCTGCAAAACTAGGAAAACAGTTAACCTCCTTAGGAAGTGGGCAGAAGAACTGAAAAGAAGCTTCACTAGGGAGGAAGCTCATATGGCCAATAAACATATGAAAAAATGCTCCCGATCATTAGCTATCAGAGAGATGCAAATTAAAACAACGATGAGATGCCATCTAACACCCTTGAGGTTAGCCCAAATCAGAAGATCAGAGAGCAACAAATGTTGGAGGAGATGTGGCGAGGCAAGACCTCTCCTTCACTGTTGGTGGTTGCGTCGATATGTACAGTTGCTGAGGAAAGTGAGCTGGCAATATCTAAAACAAATGGAAATTTATCTACCTCATGATCCAGCTATCCTTCTACTGGGCAGATACCAAGAAGAGGTAATAAATAGACCACAACCAGTTGTCTGTGCCCCAATGTTTATTGTGGCACAATTCACAATTGCAAAGAGCTGGAAACACCTAAATTTCCATCAGTAGACAAGTGGTTTATTAAACTCTGAATTAGTAAACTCTGGCACATACAGCCAATGGAGTCGTATGCATCCTTAAAAAGCACTAATGATCACATGAAACATGTCGTTTCATGAGAAGAGTTGGAGGAAATGATGCTATGTGAAGTCAGCCAATCACAAAAGGCCAAGTACAGCATGAGTCCTCTGAGGTAAATATAACCAGTACAGTAGGTATAGAAGAAAAGCCATGTTATCTCACAATCTGCAGATTGAGGATACACCCAGTCGGGTGGAGGTCAGACCAAACCCAAGGAGTTACATGCTAATCCAACATAAATTAAGGGCAAGGGCTAAGGATAGAAGCGGGCTGGGTGGGAGTGAGAAGATGGCATGGGGGGAGTGGGGAACTAACCCACCCAAGGGGAGAGTATTGGTTATGGCTCCACAGAATCAGGAGTGTGCATACAGACCCCAACACGACACACCAAACCATGAGGGCAACGTAACCATGAGGAGGAATACATGAAAAGATTAGGCTACAGGGCCGGCCCCAGCCTGGGCTAAACTGACCCCCACCCTAGAAATACATGTGGCAGAGAACAACACTAAATCTACAGGTTGGGGTGAGGGGTCAGCAGATCACGTACACATGGAAGCAAAGCAAGAAGGAAAAAGAGAAAGGAACGGTCGGTCCAGACCCCATATTGACACCCCAAGCCCAGAGGATGACGTCCCAGCACGGAGCTGCTAAGGCACAGAGATGACTGTAGGGCCGACAACAGCTCTCTCAACACACTGTCTCCTTGCTGGAGCATACTGCGAAAGAGGACTATACTGAGGACACACAGCAGGGAGGAAGTGCGGTCTGACACACACACACACCCCCACACAGTGGGGCAAACCAAAAAGGGAACACAACAGATCAGTAAAGGGAGCAAAGCCAAGCCACAAAACCCCTAGAGTCCCCCAAAATAGATTTCAGGCTAGGAGGGGCAGTTCCCAGAATTCCCCCAGGATCAGTGGGGAGATAGTCATAAAGGTCAGCAGACAGACCTGGAAGCATGCTTTCTTTGGGGGGGGGGGCTGTGGTTGTTTTGGGTTTTTGTGTTTTTTGGGGGGTTGTTTGTTTCTGTTTTGTTTGGGTTTTTTTTTCTCCTTTTTTGTCGATTGTTTTCTATTTGTTTGGACTACGCCGTTGTTGGTATGCCTACTTACAGGAGACAGGCATGGGAAGCAAGCCCGAGGAGAAAGCAATGGGAACAATGGTCCCAGGGGAACTTGGTGGGAGAAAGGTGCGATGGGCAAACAGCACCACAGACAGGAGAACAACTAGGGAATAAAAACCAACAACGAGGTGGGTATAGACATCCTGGGAGCGCTGGTGCAACAGCAATCGAGTATAAAGGAAGTACTATGAGGCAGAAGTAGAGCAAGCATGATGGTGGGGCAGAAGGAAGGTGAAAGAAAACAGAGGAATGATCTAGGAAGCAAAACTATGGATCGAGGCCTGAACATAGAGGTGTCTGTATGTACTTACATTAATCCATAAAAACAGAAGTATTGGCTTATATACATATATTTATATGGCAATACACTGAAGTAGTAGATAGACTTTGGGCCTCTGCTCATACCCTCTCTCAATACAAGAACACATTGTTCTAACAAATTGGCAATCTGAGATGCTCACCCTCCAAACACAATCGCTGAAGACAAAATGGGTGCATAAGAAAATGTGGTGAAAAAGGCAGATAGTGCCAAGCTATGAAAAGATATAGCATCTGGGGTCTTAAAGCTTGAAAGGAAACAAGCGGCCATCTAGCAGAGAAACAACAAGCCCACATGGAGGAGGCACACCAGCCTGTGTGAACATGAGGTGTCATCGGGACCAGGTAACAGATGTCAGAAGACCCTTAACAATCAAACAAACAAAATCATGTGGTTAAGAATGAGGGGTATAAGAGCAGAGACCCAAAGCCTATCTGTAGACAATGGAACATCCCCCACAGGGGAATCACAGGGAAGGGATGAGTCAACAAGGGTGCAGTCAAACACCGATGAAACACACAATAGTCCTCTAGCTCCTTGGGGCTTCCTCACTCCACCACCATGACCCCAGTAATGCCTCTCATTTCAGACAGGAGCATGTATACAACCACAGATAAGAGATAAAAGCTTGGGACACAAGCAACCCGGGAGCAGAAATGGGAGGGAGGTACCAGATGGGAAGGGTAAAGGTGAGGGAGGAGGGAAAGTAAGGAAAACTGATTGACACTCACCCACACACACAATCTCCAGGGAAAGAACAACGGAAACCATGGGGGAAGAGAGACAGTTGTCAGTGTGAGACATGGAAATAATAATTTATCATCTATCAAGGGATCAAAAAGGTGTGTGTGGGGGAAGAGAGTGGCAAAAAGAGGAGTTGATACCAAGGGCTCAATAGAAAGTAACTGTTTAGAAAAGAATGGTAGCAACATATGTACAAATATGCCTGATACAATTGATGTGTGGATTGAAATAAGCATTGCAAGAGCTCTCAATAAATTTATTTTAAAAAGCAAAAGAAAGATTAGATGAGCAGCTCAGGCGTCCATAAGTGTCTGTGCTTAGTGGTGGAATAATGCGAGAAAGAGAAAAATGGTGGAGCAACTCGAAGAATGCAATCCACGCCAGTAAGTGGTCCTTGTGGAAATTGCTGGAAAAGAAAGAAAAAGCAGCAGCATTATGGCTGTACTTCCACAAGACTGATTTGTTTGTTCATCTGGCATTTCTCAAATACTTCCAATATTTTCCACCAACACCATAATGAAAATGCATTCTTTTTCCTGGTCTTCCCTTTTCATTGTCCAATTTTCACATATATATGAAACAATTGGAGATAACACGCCTTGGATCAGGTGCACCTTAAACTTCAGAGTGACATCTTTGCTTGTTAGCTCTTTTAAAAGTTTTGGTTTTTTTTGCAGCAGATTTTCCCAATTCAAAACATCATTTCATGTCTTGATTTTTGCTTCCAGGAGAACAGATTGTGAATCAAAATAAAACTAAAACCAGTAATCCTTGGTCACTGGTCTATCCCATGATCTAATGCAATACTGAACAGAAAGCAATACATGAATAAACAAGTAAAGCAACGCTCAATATTAATTTAGATAAAGAGCTTAACATCTCTGAACATTGCCCTTTCATCCTTTGGACAAAAAGTTAAATAGTAATGAACTCAGATTATTGTCAGAGGAAACAAGCCAATGCATGCACACTGCTTGGCAATAGGCCTTGCACACAACAAGCATTCATGAAATATGAGTGGGCTCAGTTAAGAAATGAATAAATGCATGGGGCCAAAGATGGAATGATATTTGTGTCCACAGAAATGTCAACTGAAGAGATAGAAAAACGATCAAGGTTGTAGTCACACCGTCATCTAATGCAAGAAGGGAAAAACAAATAAGTATACACACCTAAAACAAAGCCAACACTGAAGAGAAATCTTATAACACTTAATGTTAAAAAATTGACATGTAAGCGATTCCAGAGAATGCCATATTGAAGAAAATGTGAACCCTATAGTACCTGATAGAATTCTGACTTCTGCTTCATTGCCTGTTCTTGAGCTGGCTGGATTTCGGGGTAAGCAGCGATAGATTCCAATGTCCCCCAGCTGAAGTCGGCTGATCTGCAATGCTCCAGAGGGCAAAACCACCACTCGGGAGTCACTGGGGCTGGGAGTCAGGTCTTGTTGGTTCTTCTGCCAGTGTATTGTTGGCATGGGCTCCCCAATGACTTCACACTTGAGGAGCACAGTGTCTCCCATGAAGGCGGTGACAGATTCTGTCTGCGAAAGGAACCTCAGTGGTCCTGGAGAGGAAAAACAAAGAAGGAAATATCAATCTGTCTGATGACGCAGATTCTTCACCAATAAAAGTAGCCACCAGGAAATGAAAATACAGGGAATCCAGGGTGGATGAGCCCTGCAGGACCTGTGGTGTGAGTACGCAAAACAGGGAGGGTGGAGGGAGAGTGGGTAGGAAGGAGGGAACCGATTACAAAGGACTATATGTGACCTCCTCCCTGGGGGACGGACAACCGAAAAGTGGGTGAGGGGAGATGTCGGACAGGGCAAGATATGACAAAATACCAATTTATAAACTATCAAGGGCTCATGAGGGAGGGGGGAGCGGGGAGGGAGGGGAAAAATGAGGACCTAATGTCGGGGGTTTAAGTGGAGAGAAAATGTTTTGAGAAACGATGTACAAATGGGCTTTACACAATTGATGTGTGTATGAATTGTGATAAGAGTTGTATGAGCCCCTAATAAAATGTTAAAAAAAAAAAAAGTAGCCACAGATTATATTTTCTATCAGTGGTTCTCAACCGTCCTAATGCCGTTCCTCATGTTGTGGTGACCTCCCAACCATAAAATTATTTTTGTTGTTCCTTCATAACTGTAATTTTGCAACTGTTATGAATCGGGCGACCACTGTGAAAGGGTTGTTCGACCCTCAAGGAGGTTACGACCCACAGGTTGAGAACTGTTGTTTTCTATAGTGGGTTGTATTTTAAAAAGCCTTTTCTCAAATTTCATCTTTCTTGCCTCCATTCTACATTATATATCTTCAATAACCTTTCTGGCACCACAGTAAGTTTTATGAATAAAATTTGATAAAGTAGTTGCTCTCCAACACCAGAAGATATTGTTATCGTCTGTTAACAAAGCCATCCAGTGAAATAAACAAATAAGCAAGATCACCCTCATTTTCCAGATGGGGAAAACTAAGACTCAGAGAAGTGGAATTGCATAATCAAGATCGGCGTATCCAATAATTGGTGGAAAAATTCTATTATTTTTCATTCCATTTTCCCATAAACTATTTTGAATACTTTGAATAATTCCTTTATAATAATGGAAATCCTGTCAATGGTACCTCGTTCTTCTCTATATTGATCCTAGGCAAAATTACCTGACTTTGGACAAAGGACTATGAAGTCAGGTCGGTATAAAAAGAATTGGCTGTAAGGCATAACCTCAGATATTTTCAGGAAAGTTGACCTGCGTGCTACCAATGACAGTCACAGACAGCAATCTTTTATGGCTTGGCTGCTAAAGGTAAACACTTAGTACTGATTACCAATCACGTTTGTGGTAGTTAAAACATCCTAAAGTTAGCATTTGAAAACATCTTTTAGGCCGTCTGTGCCAACTGCTAGGTACGAACCCTTTTGTAAATTTTATCCCTTTCCCCTATAAAATGAGATGTTATCTCACGCTCATGATCACTATAATGTTCATACGCGATCACCTATGTGAAAGTGAGGTGCTTATATGAATTGGTAAATAAAGGCAAGGCAAAAAGAAACGCCAGGTTATCACTTAATATTATATTCTCAGTGGGAAAGAACCCATGCCTCTGTGGCTATAAGTGGGGCTGTTAGCTACAAGGGCAGCATCGAAAGCACCAGCCATTCTGGTTTTCACTCAGTGGACAATTACAGTCTCTGAAACTCACACAGGCCGCTCTCCCAGGCAGTGCTCACTGCTCTACAAATCCGTGAGTTTGAAATGAAGGAAACTACGTGAGATTGTAGATGAGAGTGGGGCAAAGATATTTTGAACCTGTCCTCCTCCTGATCCCACATTTTTAAACAGGTAGATATTTATCATACTTCTTTTATGACAATAAAAATGTTCTATTGTTATGATTATAAATAAACAGTTAAGAACGGTATCATCACTTATAGAATGATTTTTGTATTTCTAGGCTTATTTCAATCAAGTCATTTCAATTCCTCAACTCATTGCGTTTTTTTAAATATTTCAATTTAAAATTTTCATGAAACCCTTTTATTTGATATAAATTTTACAACAAACACATTTTATAATGTTTTACAGTAAAATTATTTTAGAGTTAGCGATAAAAATATCCAATAAAAACTGTCGCTTGACTCATTCAATAATTTGTTGGTTCATATCGAAGTTTATGCATGGGAAACTGAGGAACAAGAAGAGGGTGAATGCAGATGAATTGTTTATTCTCATATGTTAAGAAGCCTGGCAGGGCAGGACTCTCGGTGGAGGAAGGCCTTCACACTTGTAGATTAGAGATGAGTCCCAATCACATTCTCATAATTAATATTGATTCCCACAATATTCTTCCATCATAGTGCTACTTTAAAGTTACCTCTTACATGCACAGTGCTGATTGCTTTCTGGCCAGCAGCTTTAGCAATAGGAACAGATGTGTTGCAATTACTCTCCTTGCTCAGGGGACAGTCACTCCCCTTACCTGCCCCCAGCACTGGTGTTAGGTCACTCCTCCAATGCACTCAGGGACCTTTAGGGTTAGGGTACAGCCTACGTGGTACATTTGTGGTTACCTGTAATGAGGGGGTCTTGCATGCCCCAAGAGGATAAAAGGTGATATGAGAATACAATCACTCTCTCTGCTTAGATCTGGTTCCGGAAGCCTTGGCGGAGTGAACACCCCCAAACTTTTGTGTGTCTCTTAATATTTTCCCTTCAATTACACAATCATTCCTTAGAACCTTTCTAGATGTGAGGCTGGATCTCAACTTTGTTACTGTGATTTTTATCTTATAGAATTTTACTAAGTTAAAATATTCTTGTCCCAGGTTCAAATTGTATCAAGCAGTTTGATTTTTCTATCCAGACTCAAACACTAAGAATGTCCACTGTTTAGTTTTCACTGTTGTTAGTTTTATTTTGGATCTATTAATTCTGACAAATGTAATTTTCCCCACAATATAAAATTTGCTTGAGTCAAAAGAACAAGCAAAATGGCAAGAATCAAAACATAAAAATTTAAAGTGAAAGACAATCAATAGATGTAGAGTAGATTTCTTCCGTGGAGAAATGATGACATTTCAGGTCACCTTGTGATTAGAGTTTTTACGTGAACCACAAAGTACCTATATCCACACACAAAATGAGAAATTTCATCAACCTAGCATTTACAATGAGTATAAGTTGCCACAGGTTACTACTTATTAAAGCCAACACCATATAAGAAGATTCATAATCCTGGAGAGGTGATTGAAAATGCCACGGCTTGGGGCAGGCGCACCCTAATCCTCAAAGTTACATCCTTGCTGTGCAATGCTTCCGAGAGATCCTGGGGCGGCTGGGCAGGGAGTAAGGAAGACTAAAGACGAGTGCATGCATTGGAATTGTGGTGCTGGTGAAGAACAGTGAAGGAACTGGACTCACAAGTGAAAATACAGATCTCTCTTGGAAGAAGTACAGCGAGAATGCTCCTGAGAAACAAGGATGATGAGACTTAGTTTCACATACTCTGGACATGTTGCTAGGAGAGACTAGTCCCTGGAGAAGGACATCCTATTTGGTAAAGTGGAGGGGCAGGGGACAAGAAGAGGGCCCTCAACAAGATGCACTGACACTGGCAGCCACAATGGGCTCAAGCAAAAGAACCATTGTGAGGACGGCCCAGGACTGGGCCATGTTTCATTCTGCTACAACAGCTCTTTATGAGTCAGGACGGACCAGGAGGCATGCAGCAGCAGCCACCACCATCCTGGGGATGCAGTCATTAGGCTGTAGGTTAGTAAGAAGGATTAATGGGAGTCCATGCAAAACTATTAATGTTGCTATAAATTTCATTTTATTAATCGAAACCTATTATGTTGAGATAACTACTGAAGTTCTTTATCTGGTTCTTATTTTTAAGGTACTGAATCTGAAACTGGGGATCTATCTGTTTGCCAAGACACTACCAATATATCTAGAAGCTAGCACTTGCCCCTTCCCTACGTCTTGTCTTCTCAGGGAGCTATCAGTTAGAAGAACTAATCTACAACTCTGCCAGAACTACCACTGAATGAAACCCAAAGGTATTAGTTAACCTGGGCAATGGTTCATTGTTCAAGGTACAATTTGCAGACTGGGTGTGCTGAGCAATCTTGCTGTTGTTGGTTGGTGTCATTGAGTCAGTTCCAACCTCCAGCCATCTTACTCACAACAAAAGCTGTTTCCTGCCTGGTCCTGCACATCCTCCCAATTGCTCCTCTACCTCAGCCCATTGTTGCTTTCGCTGTATCAATCCATCTTCTTAAGAGGCTTCCTCTCTTTGCTGCCCCTCCACTTTACCAAGCATGATATCCTTCTCCAGGAACTGGTCTTTCCTGAAAAATGTCCAAAGTCTGTAAAACAGCCCTTGCCATCCTTGCCCCCAAGGGGCATTCTGCCCGTACTTCTTCCAAGACAGATTGCTTTGCAACACAATCGATTCTTCATTGGTCTTCTTTAGTCAGCATCCATCTTTCACATGTATATGAGGCAACTGAAAATGCCATGGCCTGGGTCAGGTGTCCCTTAGTCCTCAAAGTAACACCTGTACTTTTCGGTATTCTAAAGAGGTCTTGTGCACCAGTTACCCAATACAATGTATCTTTTGATATCTTAATTGCTACTTCTATGAACATTAATTGTGGGTCCAAGCAAGACAAAATCCATGACAACTTCCACCCTGTCTCTATTTATCATCATGTTCTCTATTAGTTCACTTGTGACTATTTGGGTCTTGAGACCATTTTAGAGACATTCTATTCAGATACTGATTGGCTTAGATAGGGATGTGAGCATGAGTTTAACAAGGAATGATTTGTACATCACAAGTGAAACTGCAGTGAGTAGGGGCCAGATGTTGTGAAGTTATGTATAACATCATATTTTCAAGCAATTTAAGGCTGTTTTTGTTAAGTTTTTGAATAGTAATACCTAATTTTATGGAGAAGCAAATAAAATCAGAATTATGATCTCATGTATTCAGGTATATATTTTGTGTATAATAAAAAGAAACCCGGAATATTTTTAAGTCATTGATAATCTGGATATTTTATATATTCAGATAAAAGAGTAAGTATGATTTATATACAAAGGAACCTTGTTGTTGCAATAATTACACACATGGCTGCTAGCCAAAAGGTTGATGTCCAAATCCCAGAAGCTCTGATAGAGAAAACGTGAAGAGATCTGTTTCCATAAATATGATAGCCTAGGACACTCAATGAAGCACTTCTATTCTGTCATATTGAGTTAATATGAGTTGGAATCAATTTGATGTCACACAACACTAACAAGATGCATTATACTTTTGGATAAAATTCTAAATATCTACTTTATATCTAAATGCCTATGGCATTGAAATTATCATTTGGAAAGAGGTTCTAGATGAGAAAATTAAAAATAAAGTAAATGAAGAAATCATGTAGCTACTCTACTCTTGGTTCCGCTATGTAAGCTCATCTACCTGGAAGAATCATACATGAGTTATGAGACTGAATATTAATTAATGAATGGGACTATTTAGTACACACTGTAATAATCATTTTCTTTTCCATAGAACTCCTGATACAGTGAAGCAAGGAAAACATATTTCTTATATTTTAACAAAGCAATGTTTAGAAATTGCCAAGACTTTATTAAGTGACATAATGGGGAATTATAAGCACAATATGTAGTTTTCTTGGCTATTTTTGGGGGAGTGGGGCTCTTTAAAGGTAATCCTATGCATCAAAAAGCAATTTTAAGTTTGTAAGACTGTATATAGCTTGAATTAATGCTCCCAATATTGTGCTGAATTTTAGCATTTATATCTCACAGTGGTGTAACAAACCAGCAGCCTTCTTAAAAGGTGAAGAAGTTATAGGCTATCAACTTAAGGCTTTATTTTCAAGGCATCTGTATGAGTGCCTAATAATGAACATTAAACTCACTGTAACTCATCAGAATGAAATACCGTATTTTTAGAGGAGTCACTTAATGCTCTAACACAATGAAAAGGATTCCTGTGCTTCATGCATAGAGCAATACAGGTATAATTTTAGTGAGATCCTCACGGAAAATAGTTGCCTACTCAACAAAAGATTGTTCATGCAAAAAGCCAGGTTCTGGCTCATTACGTTACACCTGATCCATCGCAAGCATTTCATAAATGGTCTGTCTTCATATCTCTTTTGTTGCCCAAATCAATCCCAAGTAGAATCAAGAGATTAGTATTCATCTGCCATCACAAGATCTTATTTTGCTCCAAAACCCAAAGGCTGAAAAAGTTCGCCGTTTTCTATCACTCACTTGTTGGATCAAGGGCTTTTGTTTAGTAAGGACCCAGGAGTCCAACACAAACTCCTTCAGACTCATCTTCTACAACTCCTGCAAAAGGATTTTTGGACTTACTAAACTGGTGAGCCCTAAATCTGTCTTTGTTTTGATTTTATTTCTCATGGCATTTTCTTCAAAGAAGAGCACCATCTCTCACCATATCTACCAATTCAAACCACGTTCACTCATAAGGTACAAGTTAACGCACACTCCCTACTTTTCAGTCCGGCTTATTGGGAATAATGTGTCCATATTTTGAATTTTAATAGCACTCATGTCTTACAGATAATAGGATGTCATTAGCTCTCCTGCCAATAAATATCTTAAAAATGTTTGCATGGGCATCTGTGTTTGATCTATATTTTATGCCCAAAGAATATACAAAATATCTACTTAAAGGAGAGGGGGGAAAAAGAAAGGCACAAATATTCTTTAGTTCTAGGTGGCTCTAAACGTTGAAAGAGAGCATTATAAACATCCAAATTCTGATCATTGAGTTTGAGTGTTATCGCCATCACTTACACTCCGTTTTAATTTGGATGATGATGATGAGCACACTGGGATATCAGGTCACTTCAGAGTCACCGCTCAGCTTCATCATTTCATTAGCTGCATGACTTAGTTTTATTCTACATATCTTTCATAATTAACTCATTTGATCTTCAGAACAGCCCTTGAAGTGAGTATTATTAGTGACCCCACTTTATGTGGAATCAATATAAAATAAAATATATATTCAAATGGACTTGCATAATTGTCTTCCAAAACCTTAAACCCAAACCCACCCATCGATGACGATGGAACAGTCCCATCATCGGTACGGATTACAACTCAATGTAAACAAATCAGAAATGCTCAGAATGGGGCCACAGACAACTTCCTGATAAACAGAGAATATTGAGGCTGTCAAGAATTTCAATTTACGTGGATCCCCAGGGACCCTCATGGAAGCAGCAGTCGGGAAGTTAAATAACACTTTGAAGAACTGTTGCAAAGTGTTGCAGAGCAAAGCTGTCCCTTTGGAGACTCAGGTGCCCCTGTCCCTAGCCAGGGGATGTCCCATTGCTGCATGCATGTAAAGGCTGCACACTGAGAGAGAGGGAGGGCAGAGACGAAGGGATGCGTTTGAATTGTGGTGTTGGCAAATGTGATGGAGGCTCTCAAGGGCTGACAGACGAACAAACACACTTCTCAGAGGAAGTATAGCCACAATGCTCCTCAGAAGGGAGGCCAGCAAGGCGTCCTTTAATGTACTTTGGACACCTTTTCAGGCGAGACCAGTGTTTGGAGAAAGATATCCGCTTGCTAAAGCAGGGCAGCAAGAAAGGGAAAGATCCTGGACAACCTGGATTGGCACAGCGGGGACTAAAGCACCACCACAATTGTATTGTGGTACAGGAGCAGGCCGGGTATATACCCGCAATACGAGAGATCCCTCTGAATCAGACCTGGCTGCACGGTGCCTCACACAAACAATACACCTCAAGGACTTATTTGCTCAGTGCGTGGCACCTGCTTTCCTAGCAAACTTATGGAATGATATAAAAAGGAGAAACTACGATTCCACGGTAGCAGTTTAGTAAATATCCCAGGCCCTTAGCATTGGGAAGTCTAGAAGGACAGCAATGATTAAAAGCAGTGGCCATCCAGTCAGTTCGCAGTCATGGTATCTCATGTGTGCCAGAACGGCCCCAATGGTGTGTCTAATTCTGAAAGGTGACTGTCGAGCCTTTCTTCCAACATGCCTTTGGGTAAATTTCAACTCCCAACCTTTGTTTAGCAGCCTGTGCTTTAACTATTTGTACCACTCAGACTAAAACATCAAAGTAAATCCATTGCAATCAAGTCGCTACGCATCGGGACCCTATAAGACAGTGTGGAACCGTAGGGTTTTCAAGTGAGCCAGGATAGACTCCATGGTGGAAGGCTTGGGTTTGACTTGGTTTGATGTTTATGACAGCAACCTGTCCCCTCTCTCTGCCATGGACTGGCCTGCTGGGTCTTAACTACCAAACTTTCAGTAAACAGCCAAGAGCTTTATCCTCCCACATCTACGGTAGCGATATAAAGGTTAGATGGAGAAAACTTCTATGCCATTGAGGGAAATGAAAACGAGAAAGATCACCTTTCAGGCCAGGAAAGGAAACACGTGAAGCTTTTGATTTGGAAAGAGACAGGGCAGTGGGAAAAAGAATCCCTGAGCATTTTACCTCAAACCCATGAGCTTAAATTATGGACAAGTGATAGAGGTTTTTAAAAGGATTCGTCCAGCCTCTCTTTAAATAGCTATTCCCAGGAACAAAGTTATCAGACGGTCTCAGGACTGGACTTTACCCAACTGGGGTGGCCAGGGCAGTGACTGAAGCCATTCATCACACCCAGGCCAATTCAGATCTCCTTCTGTGTTAGGCACAACTCACGTGTTTTCTGTCGCCAGGACAGTAGACATGTTAATAGCAAAGGCAGCAAATATTTTTTTCATTTGGCTTTTCCATTGTGATGCTAAAATATGAGGTAAAAAATCACCATGGCAATGAATGGAAAGCTGTAAAATCCGCAGGGACATCAACAGTGTGAGGCTCTCCAAATTAAAATAAGGAGAACAATGGCACCCCTCTGGAGGCTTCACCCACCCTTCTAAGCAGGCATGCCACACAGCATGGACGAAGTAAAATCTTCCCCTCAGAACCAGGCTGTCAAAAAGTTCCAGTACTGTACACATGTACACTCAAATGCATTTAATTCTAAATAATATCCACTATTAAGCAGAACTGGAAATAAACCATGTCACAGTACAAGTCTTGCCAAGACTCTGACTCTAGGGAGTCTCTCCTTCTGCCACAGCATCACCAACCTCAGAACAGACCCACTCTTCCTTTTAAATTTTAATCTGAAAATGGCATATTGCTCATATGTTTTCCTCCAGCCTCCTTGGCAGACTATCAGTACCCCAATCTCCCTCTGTGGAAGGTCTAATTATTAAGTAATTAAAGCTCACTTAATAATTGGGACTTATCAATTGGGGGACAGACCCTGGGATTGGAAACAAGGCTCACTACTAAATATTCAACACTGTGGAATATTCATTTGACAACTGTCAGAAGAGAAAGGCTGTAAAGGTTTTCCTAGCTCCAAATTAAAGCCTTAAGGCCCTTTCTTCCCACACTAGACCTCTTTTGCCCCCTGTTTAATTCTCCAATAAGCTGAGGGTAGAAGCAATCCAGAGTTCTCCAGATTTAGACCTTCTTAGCCATGCAAAGCCAATAAAGGGATCAGAGAATTTGTTACAGGCTAATTTCTCTGGTAATTCACTCTGCTAGTTATCATTTTCATTCATTTATTCTTTTTTTTTACAAAAAGCTGGAACGCTTCCCGAATTTGCACGTCATCCTTGTGCAGGGGCCAGGCTCATCATCTTCTCTGTACCATTCCAATTTTAGTGTACGTATTGCCAAAGCGAGCACTCATTCTTCTTCTTCATTTTTTCCCCCAATTTACTTCTTCAATGTCATTGGCACAATTCCAAACTCCAAGATAGCTGAGTGGGGGCCAGTGAAAAAGAGTCTAGTAAGTGTGTCCAGTGTGTTCCAGGCACAATCACCCAATGTGTGATCTTATATCATCCACGTGGCCAATTGAGTAAATCTCAGAAAGATGTCCATCCATCCATCTCTACAAGTTCTGCAACACAGAATGAACTCAATGCTAAGCCAAAAACAACCAAAGAGATATGTCATCCTATAAGTCTTTCCTAGAATCATCTTTGGGAAACATCATCAGGTATAATAACATACCCTGACGTATTTGTGCCGTCTATATTTTCAAGCAACTAAAGCTTTATGTACATCAGACCTGAAACACTGGGCCATTTGGGGATTTGTGTGGTCTATCAATGAAGAATAGTCTGTTTGAATTCTTGTCTTATAATCTAACCTAATAGCATTGTAGAGGGTTGCCTGTCTGCCACAAATGGTTAAATATTAGACAATGATCTGGCAGATTTGTAGTTCAAATCCACTCAATGTTGCCTTGGAAGTCAGGCCTAATGATCTCCTTTTGAAAGTTCACAGCCTTGGCAATCTTAGGGAGTGCAGGTCTGCTCTGTACACAAGGGGGTTGCCAGGAGGTACAACCAGCCAAATAGCACTGACAACAATGACAGCTTTGTTGGACCCTTGCTTAACTGGACTTCATTTTCATGGAATAACACAGATTTCTCTCAAATGGTCCATCCTCATTTCACCCTCAGGTCATCTGGCAGCCAAGATAAACCTTTGCAAAGACTAGAAAAGGATGCCACATTTGAAGAATCCGTTTTGCTGGTTGAGCAACAGATCCATAAGTGGATCTCCGTCTCAGCCACTTTGTGCTGGAGATGGTTGACAGACATCAAGTACATCACGTATGCCACTGACTTGTTCTTCTTGATTTCACTATAAAAATATCCTTCATTAAGTCCTACAGGTTTTGTGTCAGCTTGCTGTACATTAGTGGTTTGAATGTAGATCTGATATTGGAAATTGTGATATTGGTATTTCAGATTAATAGTCACTCATCGTGAACAGGTTTCAGCAAAGCTTCCAGACTAACATAAACAAGGAAGAAGGAATAAGTGGGCCACTTTGGAACAAAAGAACCACTGGGAGTCTCATGAAGAACAGTAGAGCATTGACTGATTTAGTTCCAGAAATAGGACTTAGCTTGAAACACACGCAACATATGACTGGAGCAGAGCCGCATGCTCAAAGGAGCGCCAATCTCTAGGACACAGATGAAGCAAAGCCTTAGGACCTTCATTTGCTGAGATGGCATGACTCCATGTAAGATGATGCAGCAGCAACCACCACTAATAACAGGAGCCTGGGTAATACACAACGTATGAATTTTAAAAAATTGGAAGTTATCAAAATGAAATAAAACCCATAAAAATGAACACCGTAGGTATGAGTGAGCTCAAATGGGCTGGTATTGGCCATGTAGAATCAAATAATAATATAACTTACTGTGACGGGAATGAAAAATTAGAACATATTGGCATTGATTCATCATCAAACAAAAATTTCAAGAATACATCTTAAAGTACAATGCTGTGTGATAGGATTATATCCATATATCTACAAGAAAGATAATATTCAACTTTATCTACTAGTCATTAAATTCAATATGAAGAAATTGACCAATTCTGCCAACTTCTTGTCTGAAATTGATCAAATATATAATCAAGATGCATTGATAATCACTGGTGATTGCATTTGAAATTTGGAAACAAATACAAAGGGTCAGTAATTAGATAACATTGCCTTGGAGATAGAGACGGCTGGGGATCACATGATAAAAATTTACATGTAGACATCACCAGATATACTACACATGAATCAAATTGACTATGTCGGTGGAAAGAATAACAAAAACTCAGTATCATCAAAAAAACAGGTAACCGTCAGTTTGATGCTGACGAAAACGAAAACAAGTCCCCCAAAGCCAAAATAGCAACTTGGACTTAGAGTTTCTTTTTGTTTGTTTTTTATTTTTATTTTTTTGGACTTATAATTTCAACACCTGAGTTGATTCATGGAACCCAGAGACCAGATGAGCTGTGGGTGGACATGAGAATCATATACATGAGAAAAGAAGGTGAATATTAAAAAGAGGGAAAAGAAAAAAAAAGATCAAAGGGGCTGTTAGTAGTCACTCTGAAACTTCCTCGTTAATCTAGAGCAGCTAAAGTGAATTGAAGAAATGATGAAATAAAAAAGCTGACTGGATCATTTCAAAATACAACTTAAAAGTAAAGTAGTATCTTGTAAAAGGCAAAGATATCTAGGTTCCAAGACCAAACAGGAAGGAGAAAGAAAACCAGAAAGTAACTGATGCATGTGAATCACAGTGTTGGTGAAGATGATTGAAAGCAGTATGCCCCACCCCCACCCCCCGGAGAAAAACAAACCTGTCTTTTCTGTGGGGAAGAAGTGCAGCCGGAATGCTCTTTAGAAGCAAGGATGCGGAGATTTTATCCGGTGTATTTAGGACATGCTATAAGGAAAGACCAGGCCTTTGAAGAGAATGTCATGCATGTCAAGGTAGAGGGTCAAGGAAAAAAGGGAAGATTCTTAGCAAGACAGATGGTCACAGTGACGCAACCGTGGGCTTAAGCACAGCAACTCTTGGGACGATGATTTGGGACTGAGTACTGCTTCTCTCTGTTCCACGCCCGTGGTCATGAGTCAGAACCAACATGGGGCATCTAGCAGCAGCAGCAGCAGCAGCAGCAAAATCTAGGTCAGCAATTGGAAGAGACGATAAAAGAGCTGAGCAGTAGTTGACTTGGGCCACTGAAATCTTTAGTGAACTTCAGGGCCAATAAAGAGAGGTTTTGGAAATATTTCTCAGTCACGTGTTTATGCCTTATCTTCCATCTATAGGAGGTATTATATAGAATTTATTACCCAGAACCATTTAAAAGAAATATTCTAGAAAGTTTTGCCACTTCTTCATGGCATTTGCATTTTATGTTCTACCTACATATGGACACGGCATGCAAGCTAGCCAAATTATTTTGAACAATGATGCCATTATTCCACTGAAGGGTTAAAAGGGAGGTGGTTTTATCAAAGGCGCTAGTTGGAGGATCCTTGGCAGTGGGAACTGCTTTTCACTTGTAACGGATGAAACTCCTCGCTTGCCTACACACATGCATTAAAGGAAATGCAAAGTGACTGATTAGGAGCTGTTTACTTATATTTCTTCACCTTAATATTTGCCATATCCCTGACCCTTTAAAGGATAAACTTCCAATGCAGAAAAAGAATCTGTAATAAAAAACTGAAAGTAAAACAAAAATGACCTAATACTTTAGAAACAACATTAAAATGGGAACTAGAAATATATATGAAAGTATGACACTGAATAGGAATTTGACCCTGGGCTGAGTGGTCATTTGGGTACTTGACCTACACGACAAATGGGTAGTTCTTAAGGGAAAGGGAAATGACGCTGATTGCACTGTTTGCTATACTGTAGCTGTCCAGCGTCCAGCTTGTGTCTGTGCTGTGCCTAGTCCATCCCGCCTCCCAGCTAAGGGAATGGTCGCTGATGTGTTGGGTAAGCTCCTTATCACCCCCACGCCATGAGCCAGATGCAGCCCACTGGTTCCTGAGAGCTGCCCGCCAGTCAGCATCCTGGTGGCCCCATGTGTGCAGAGCAGAAGCACTCCACTGGGGTGCAAGGCTGGGACCAGTTGGAAGGGGATCACCAGGCCTCCGGAGTGGCCTGTTTAACTGCTTGCGCCACAAGCAACTCCTATCTGCTGCCTTTACTCATAAGGATAACCACTGGAATGCAATTACATTTCCAATAGCTAAGCCTCACAGTTCTATTAAAAATACTGTACAACAAATGTGCTTGCTTCAATTGATGTAAGGCTTGTTATAAGAGCTGTAAGAGCCCCCAATAAAATGATTTATTAAAATTTTTAAAAGGCAATTTATGAAATTTTTTACCCATAAAATCAATTTCTAGGAATCCATTCATGAATATATGAAGGAAAACAAAGCTAGATGTATGAAATGATTAAGTCCAACAATATTTAAAATAATGGACAGTAGAAACAGGCTAATTGCATTATACCAGGGGATGGATTAAGCACATTTGGTATATTCCCTGAAAATAAAAACATATCAGTAGAGAAAATTTGGTTAATAAGCATTTATAAAAGTGACTAAAGTTGATCAATTTCTTAAAAAAAAACTTGTCTTACAAAAAGTATAAACGGGAATTTAGCTAATGATTTAAACGTCATGTTTGGTTCATCATCATTCGCTCACTCAGTCATCAAGTCTATTCCAACTCAAAGTAACGCCATAGAGTGGAATAGCATTGCCCCTTTGGATTTCCGAGGCTGAAAGGCTTTACAGAAACACAAAGCCTCGTCTTTCTCTCCCAGAGGAGCCGGCGGGTTTTAAACATCTGACCTTGCCGTCAGAAGACCGATGCATAGCCATCAGAGATCCTTTACTATATTAGAGGCAGTGAAAATCACAAGTAGCTGTGCATGAGCGCACTTATTTCATAGAGATGCTTACCTGGGTATCCCTTACCTAGAGCTTCTCTAAAATATCTACAACTCTGCTAATAAACTTTATATCATACAAAACTGAGACTGATTCATAATCAATAGTAATGAGTATTTTTACAGAATTTAAGTTCAGGTCTTCTAGCCAGCATAAATCTCCTTATACATGTTTAATAAATAGTCACAGCATGCATGACAAGTGAGGATGAAGGTGGCTGCTGTTTGTGTGGGCCCACTTGTAATGTGTATTCAACTACAGGCCGGCAGATTATTCAAATAAGGGAAGAACTAACTTTTTCTTTTCTGTTGTGATCCATGGTGATTTTATTGGATAATATTAGAAGCAGATGTCAAGTCTTTTCTTCCTAATCCTAGTCTTAGTCTGGATGCATT